AGCAATAGTTTCTTTGTCACACCCTTTCCTGTTACCATCCGTCTGTACAATTGACTGTTTCTTTCATGTCCAGTTTACTTTGGTCATACAAATTTGTGCTAATGATACTCTGTACACATTATACTCGGACGAGATCAACTAAGTTCTCTGTTTCGATGACACTGTAATAGTTATTCCAGGTGATCTAATCGCTTCAATCTATGTGTGTGTTAAGATAATTACATGAGTTCTTTACACTGAAGTGTTTGCAAGAAACGACAACCATTACTTAGTGTGCACGTGTTGGTATTTCAGAAGATCAAAGCAACTTTGAAGTTAATTTAAGTGTCTCTGAAACACTTAATAGTGAAACTTTACAAAATTCATAGACCGTAAGTACAAATGTAGAAGATTCCCATTAATAGTGGAATGCTTTAACCATCCCCCTGTTACTCACGTTAGTTGGTCTTATTGTTTTGTTCATAAATATTTTGTACTAAGCATAATAATGTCTTCTTGATGCCTGATTCATTTACCCATGAGTGTCAGTTTCTTCAATAGATTTATGTGTGTTAAGTTAACGCCACTCACTTCATACTATGAACTGTTTACAGTGACTGTCATTACCTAATGAACAAGATCTGAGGTTAAGAGAAATGCCCCGTGAAACGTTTTGAAAACACTTCTAGCTTAATTAGAACTTCATGAGCCGTGAATGCAGCAGAGGACGGAGTCTGTGTTTTGTCTTCGTAAGTCGGGTGATATAAATACGTTATTATTATGTCGCTTTTTCTACAAACTAAATTTACATTATACTAGTTGGTAATAGTTTCAGAGACCAGGCATTCATTTTAGCAACAAAACATGATGCCGTTATCTCTTCAGGAGATCAATGTACGTGTTACTCAAGAAAATTACACATGTTTACTTAGACCTGGTATACTGGATGACGGCCTTGGTTGGGATAGCGTGCTGGGCTAGTTCACAAAGGAGAAGACAACGGTCTAGATCTCGTAAGAGGTGATGGTGGATCGCTTGTTGTGCTGTTGGCAAGATTAGAAGCCTCAGCGGCCTATCTTGATATAATACCACTGACAACGCAAACACCTTGTAGCATCACTCTCTGCAAGGGATTTATAAAAACATGCTTATCATGTAGGTCGAATTGTACAGCAGACTTATTTCGAAGTTCTTTCTGATAATTTGGATTTTCTTGTCATTGGGTATGCAACTCTCCAGGTTCTGGGTGATCATGATAAGAGCACGAAGTGCCCATAAAACCAACTCGTTCTTTTACGGATTATGTGAGGAAATAATAGCTGCTACGTATGAAAAAAATATTAAAACACACTCAGAAGACATTTTTCACCTTTTTCTTTGTTATCTGAATTTGAGAGAGTGAGTTTAGTTATACGCCGCTTTTAACAATATTCAGGCAATATCACGCCGGCGGACACCAGAAATTGTCTTTCGGACGGACACCAGAATTTGTGTTCGATTTCCCCATGGGTACAATGTGTGGAGCCCATTTCTGGTGTCCCCAGCCGCGATATTGCTGGAATAATGCTAAAGCGGCGTAAAACTAAACTCACTTGATCATTGAGTTTCGTGATTACCTATTTATTATGAATATCTAATTTTACATTAGACGGAATATACCGACAAGTTTTTTATGTTCAGTCCATGTTCGACAGTCGTAACACCTATTTTCAGTAGCTTTCCTTATGACACGAGAAGGGACACATTCCGAAATCAGTCAGAGGTTCTGAATCATATTCACAAAATGAATTGAACCGGGCTCTTGTGTAATAGCAATTACATATGGTGGCAAGCACATGTAAACATTTGTCAGTGGATGTATTATATATGTGCCCTGTCTCTCGTCATCAATATGCTGACATGATGCAATAACACCTCTGGCCTTTCAGGTCTTGCAATTTCAACGACAGAAACTCGATACAGATTGCACGCCTGAAAGGTCCGAAAAATGAATTCCGTATTTTGGGAAATTCGCCTTGATCCTTTTACACGCTTTCTAAATGCTTAATCAAATGACTTGATCTGTGATGTATATTGACAGATATTTCAGTACTATGTGACTGGTATTATCCCGGGATTGTGAGCACTGGATAAAAAAAGTGCTGTGGTGACTCTTACTTGGCCCAGTCAGGCTTGTACTCCCGTTGGCAACCATACTCTGGGGTCTCGGAACTTATAAATGCGTGTGTGTAAGTTGGGCGTATCACCGCGTTGAAAAGTGTTCTAGATAGGCTGTTCATACTTCTTCCATGTATTTCCTATCTCCCGCCAACTTGAATTTTCAATCCGATGTGAAATAATTAAAGTTTTTTCTTATCCCAATTTCCTCCACAGCCGTGGAAATTAATATCCTGATGTGATAAATAAATATACTCCTACCTGTGGACATTTAAATCAAATAAGTCAGCTTGATCTTTTTCGTCTACATATGAGGGGCGTGGTGGGCGAGGTGTCTAGGGAGCCAGGCTAGTAATCCATGGCCAGCGACCTTCAGGTGCCGGGATCGAGCCCACCTGTGACGGGGTGTAAAAACCTTGGAGTCAACTTTGTGTGCAGACTCTTTCTGTGTTGTCACAACCCCTAGTGAACAATACACAACCCCGTGCACTCAAAAGAACCCACAAATGGTAATTGACCAGATGGTGGACACATGAATACGTGCAAACACCTAGTTGCGGGTACAGCAACGTGCAGTAAACTTGGACAAAGTACTGTGAGTATGTGTCCCAGTCCACCCAGCTGTGAATGGGAAAGCCACATTAACTCGGTGCGCCTAGTGGCTGCAAGAGTTGTATAATCCCCGGGGAGTTGGGATTGATAATACGAAGTGCCGTTGAGACTGATCACCCTATGATCGAGGGAGCAGTCTGTGAGTAGCCGAGCTGGAACTCTGCGCTATATAAATAGATTTTATATGTATATAATAATATTTACATAATTTTTAAAAGCAAAAATGAAGCAAGACGACTCATCATCATCATAAATAAATTGAAATACTATTACCAAGTAATTATTTTAATATTTGTAAACCAAATAACCCAGTTTGTGCAAAATATGTTTCATATGTATGTTTTCGGCCTCCCGCTTTCTTGTTGATTTAGATGCCTCGTATCACGGTGTGTCAGCTAGATGTGGGAGGAAAGATCGAAATGGTGTATCAGGAGGAAGGTTCTCATAAACCTAGAACTATAATAGGGCACCCACCATAATAGGGGTCTGGTATCCCAGGGGACGTAACTCTACATAGCGGATCGTGGAGCCTTGGACTACTGGGCCCCTCCTGCCTCCGATACGTTGTATTGTGTCAGAAGCTCAGCTTTATACGTTTTCGCAATACAATTTTCTGAAGTTGATGCAGTTTGCTTATCCATTATCAGGTTGACAACATAATCCAAACTCAGCGCCACATGGCTGTATAGAGGCTAAATTGTGAATTCTGTGGGGAATTGGTGTTATATCCAAGGAGATGACTGGGTTGGACGTGTGTCAACGTGGTCCAGAGTCGCGAAATTTGTTGTTCATTGCATCAATCATTGGAGTATGTGATCTGAACAGTAAAACTGGAATGTTGCTGAGTGCTGCGTTACGTAAGTCCCCAAAACTTTCAAAGTAGACTTTTCACGTATGAAGTTTTAAACGTAGTATTTTTGTTCATTTAAATTTCGGCTGAATTGTCCAACAATCGCCAATAGCTGAAGGGATGGTTTAAATCCAGTTAGGATCCATGCAGGTAGCAAAAGTAATGTAAATCCCCATGGTTCCTAGTATGGTGATCTACCTTCAGTTGTTGGAGATCTATAGCCCGTTTTTATATTGTATTGTCTTCGTAAATAAAATAGTTTTACATGTTCATGCTAGTTTTAGACTCCATCTGTGATACTCTAGTTATTTTACAGTCCTTCGATGACTGATTATTTAGCAAATAAATTTATTGTATATGTAAAACATGTCTCGTCACTATATGGCTGAAATATTGCCGAGGTGACGTTAAATTTTAATTCACTCACTCACTGAGTGCTGCGTTAAACAACAAATACACACATGTTCAAGATGGAGCGCTTAAGCTGTTTCGGATTGAGACTTTGTGCATAAGACCATGGTGGCGACTATCACATTTCTGTACGTTTAGCGTATACCTACAAAGAAGTATAGATGCCATGAAACTACAACGACAGATTAAGTGAAGTTCTCATCTTCATTTGTCTCGTTGTACTTCGCGAAGGTCCTTGCTGAAATGGAAAAGAAGAATCAGAATAAAAAAACATATTTTAGAAACACTTTATGCTTATTGTTCAGACAAAACCACAAACCACCATTTTTTCATCAGTCTTCTTTTCCTTCTGGGAAACACTTGTCCCATTGTATCTTTTCGAATGCTAACAGGGCCTTCTATTACATGTACATTGGATCATATCTGGGCGTTGAATGCAATATCGACATATAAAATGGAATTTCACTTTACAGATAGCGCCTTGATTTTCATTTTATTATGAATTTAATCGTCGTTTTCACATTATCTCACTGAAATGAAAAAGTAATTAAATTTATGTATCAACACAACCAGTGAGAAAACATTATTTTATTACGTGATGATGCGGGAAGATTTCATGTTCGAAGGAAAACAATATTTGTGTTTTCCTTAGGGATTTTTCTTTCAGGCTTCTAATAGTCATTTGTTGAGTTCCATGATGGTATCGGCCTAGGAAAAAATAACAGTATCTGTATCACAGGTACGTGAAGCAGATCGGAGCACCAAAACATTCTCAACAAAACGCATTTAATAGATTGCTTCCCTTAAAAACTGACGTTAACGACCTTCTTATCTAACGTCAGAGCGCAGCCAATCGGATGAAAGCAAACATTCCCTCCGGAATCAGCGTCTCGCCTGATTGGCAGGAGACAATACACGTGACAAGAAAAACGCGAGCTCATGAATGACGTCGAGGTGATGGACGTCTCTTACGGCATTAATGACTGAGAGAACGGAGACGAGTACAAGACATCCTGCTTCCTGATAACTGTTACTGAAATCGATTAAGGCAGATCCGAGAGTTGATATCCTCGCAGCCTATAGCCTTCGCCGCCAGTGGTGATATAGGTGAGTGATTGATTGAAATACATGATAATCTATTTCATTTTGTTGACAAATTGCAATAGTTTGATAATAATAAGGAACTATTTCTATTTTCTATGATGTTTTCCATATTTTGGTTCGAAAAATGTAAAGCGTAATAATACACTGATGATAGTCCCTTGGCGCTATGACATACATATTTTTGGCTTTAAGCTATGGACATCTAATAATACCCAACGAAATTTTAAGTTGATATGGATCTGCCATTTGTCATCTTCATTCGTTTTAAATGCACCTGTATCAAATCAATTCATTATTTTCATTACAAAAAAATAATATTAATACTCAAAGCCGTTTAGAGTTTGGTTAAATGTGACACATGATATATTTGGGATTACATTTGCTCAATAATGTACAGATTCTAGAACATTTGTTGGGTACATCGGAACTAGAATCTGTACTCTACTGAGAAAGTGTAATCCCAAATATGACATGTGGTAAAGTAGTAACAGGTTACATACGCGGGGGAAGGTGGCAACTCTTGACCGCCGTTTATGTAATTTCTTCATTCTACAAAATTCATGGGAATATAGGCTCTTTGACAAGCGTCTGAGATTAATTTACACGTGGAAATGTTCCGCTTGAACACATGAAAATTGCTATTGGTGTGACCGCAAATGTAATTATTGCCTAGCTTCATCTGGTGGATCATTAATAATGCATGCGAGTAGACATGCTATTATTCATGGGGCATGGTATCATGCTCTTTGATATCAATAAGCCTTGACATATTATAAAACCACGTAGGCACTAATACTGGACATTCGAGGTTTGGAATGGTAGAGAATAAATTGATTTATTTGTGCGGGATCAAGTGAAGGAAAATAAAATCGCCAATTTCAACCACGATATTATTCATGAGTTATTGATGCAGTTCTTGATATTATTCATTGATATCATCAAATTCCACAAACCTCTATTTGTGCAATGATATCAAAACATATGCAATGATATCAAAACATTTTACAAATAAATTTCTGCCACAATCTAATCTTTTTAACATCTACATATACATCTACATAGAAGATACTTTCATCTACGTAGATTATACTTACATGACGATAAAAGTATTTTAGAGTGCGGGACTAATACGCTTTCACAAAAGTTATGACATTTGGCGATTTGTCAGTATTATTGATATTGTCCATTATTAGTAAATCATATTAAATATTACAGTTTTATCTTGTTTTTGTAAATCAGTAAATGTGCGATTGTGTCAGTAGAAACTTCTAGTCCGTCACCCGATTGTCTGATCTATTTACCGACCGACATCTCATGGTAAGAGCACACTAACACAGTCAGGCTACAAAAAGCAATCTTTTGCATGCAAATTGTTAGAATGACTGGCCTTCAGGACATGCCTACCCTTTTAGCGAACACCTGTTGTGATCACTAATTTGTATAATAATTAATTTGTGTAATATTCAAAAGGTTACGGATATATGATGTTTATCAAATTAGTACGGAAATGAACGTCAAAATCTTGCCCTTAACGAAATATACGTCAATAACGCCAACAACGGCCAACCTTCAGTAAACTGCTGCCCGTAGGGGTTCCCTCGTTAGAATTAGTGCTAAGACACATGGGTGGCTGTCGTCCAATATGGCTTAGTTAATGTGAAGGTCGGGCTTTCTTAGAATACGTCATCGTAGCCCAACAGTGTTCATAATATTAATCATTGGCTGATCTTGTCCAAACTCGAGTATTTTAAGACCACAGTCACAGTCATAGTTTTAATTTAGCTGACAATATTGCGGCATCGAGCTATGCAGGTCCGGGTGAGAATTGATCTAATTCAATCCTTGCTCGTCATAACAGGATCGGGTGGTCATGGTCTCTGACATGGTTGCGTGTACCATGTTCATGATGTTAATCACTTGATTGTTTTGTCCAGACTCGATTATTTACAGACCACTGTAATAGGGACTTCTTTGATTGGCATGTTAGCGCGAACGTCTAATACGGACTACTGTGGTGTTAAACAACAAACAAATTCTTCGTAACCCATTAAACTTGATCAAACCCGATGGCAATATTCAGAAACTACCCATTCTTCCTTATAAATATGTAGACAAGAATCAATGTTCATGGTACTGTTCAATTGATTCTCTCCTTCAGACTCATTAGTTTACGGGTTTCTTGGTATGGAAGGAGTCTGGCATAAAGAAGAAAACTAACACCTACATATTTTGACAGTTGTCATATTTTGATGCAGGCAGTACGTCAAGACATGCCATTTTCGCGAGCACCTTGTGTCTACACCGGCTTGGTGATTAATTCATATAAAACCAATCACTATTTTACCCCTAACAACAGTCAATCGAGACTGATTATTCTTTGGCGATGACGTTGTGAATGAACCGTAATGACACGGAATATAGGGCATCAGAAATACAAGGACTTTACAGTACCAATACAATCAACTTCAATACAGACCAGGAAGCGAACCCTTACTCCGGGATGAAAGCCATTACACCTAATTATACGTGATATAGAAAACTCGTGTGTTTTTTTACTTCAAATCGAACCTTGTACACAGAGCATTACAAGGTCGATATTCCCCAGGGAGAATTTGCCCATGTTGTCATCAATCAGAGTTGTGAGTATAAGCCTGATGTGTGGAAGGGCGTTTTTCAACAGTTTCGAAAAAAGCATAGGCTTTCGACAGGGCGTTGGCCAGTCTTGTCCAGGTTTACAAGATTAGGGTCCTTAATAGTCATGTCATGTTAGCGCGAACGTCTAATTACTGTTTGATTCTACGTCCTTGTCCATATGCATTGTTTGTTCACGGGCAATTACTCTTAAAACGGTACCACGCGTGCCTAAATCCATTCGAACCGTTGTTACTGAATGAAAAGGCTTAAATACTACCACACTGTCTTTCTGGGCAACACATGAAGTAACCATACACCTACCTTGTGGTATGTGACACGTTATCGAACACAGTGTGTCAGACAGCTTTAGTGACAATGTGAATGTCTTTCTTTACCGCATCAGGATCACCGCTATTGTGTAGTAAGGTCACTTATTCGAGTTCTACATGGGTGGGTGTGGGCGTGTGGGCGTGTGGCCGTGGGGGAGGTGTGGTGGTGTCAGTGTGGGGGTTGTTGTGCTGTTTCAGCAGAAACCTTTCTGATTAAAAAATATGATTTCATAGAAAATATATGATATTTTATATAAAAATCGTATTAACGTGCAGTCTCGAACACCAGTTAGGTATAATATGTGAAGCTCATTTTTCGTATCCACCGACAAGATATTGCTGTAATATTTACTAAATGCGGCATAAAAGTATATTCACATCTTTACTCAAATTCTCGAACATTTGATAACCCAGGATATTTCGATTGTCTTAGATTTTATTGTGTAAGTATTTTTATGATTTGATAATCTATATACACAGTTTTTCTTTTTTCTGAACTGGATATTGAAAATACACACTGGAGGAAAGTTGATCACCCCGATCAATAAACACCATCAGGTGACATGTATATACGGACATTTGTTACGTTAGGGAGGACAGTGACGTCCTCTCTGCCGACCTCATTGACTACGTGAACTGCATATTAGTCGGAATGTTAGAGGTCTCGGTATGTGGGGCTAGAAGTTATCCTGTAATTTTTATGACATTTAAAGTCAAGGACTTAAGATCCTTCACAAAGGAATTTGCTCCCTGTGTTCAGAATCAAAATCTTACCTTGGGGCTTTTTTTCAATTTGATCAACGTCAATGGATGTCCAGTCCAACGCGTCAGGAGATGGCAGTATATAAAAGATACTTGAGATCATAGTGATATATATAACATAAGGTTACTACATACATACATACATACATACATACATACATACATACATACATACATACATACATACACACATACATACATACATACATACATACATACACACATACATACATACATACATACATACATACATACATACATACAGTCTGCACACAAAGTTGACTCCAAGGCTTTTTACACCCGGTCACGGGTGGGCACGATCCCGGCACCCTCCAAGCTCGCTGGGACAATGTGGTCTTTAAGACAATGTGGTCTTTTAGCCTTTTCATTCAGTAACAAGTCGACTTCTGGAATTTAATTCGGCAAGCGTGGTTGAGTACTCAGTGAGTGAGTGAGTTTAGTTTTACGCCGCGCTCAGCAATATTCCAGCTATATGGCGGCGATCTGTAAATAATCCAGTCTGGTCCAGACAATCCAGTGATCAACAGCATGAACGTCGATCTATGCAATTGGGATACGATGGCATGAGTGCACCAAGTTGGTGACCACCCGATTCCGTTAGCCGCCTCTTACACGACAAGCATGGGTTACTGAAGATCTATTCTGACCCGGACCTTCACGGGTTCGTTGAGTATTTAAGGCACCGACACTCGCTTTGCATTGGTGCGTCCCTTAATGATGTGATGGGGTTTGAACCCGCACGTCTTCCTGGTTGAGATTTCCTTTGCCCAGCCTTCTGTGCCGACGAGATTTGTTCTCCAGAGTTGGATCCCTTACACATGCCGGTGTCCTGTGATTAGGTTCAAATCCGCAAGTCGCACTGATTGGTACTGTCTTGGTCTTGTCATCTAAGGTTCTGCGTCCTCTAGGTGGGTCGGAGTCATGTGATCATTGATTCGAATCCACAATTCTCCATGATTGGTACTGTCTTGGTCTGGTCATCTCAGTCGCTCTTAAGACATGCATGTCGAAGTCAGGTGATCGTGGGTTCGTACCCATAGTTCTCCATGATTGTAATTCATTTCTTTCAGCAACCTGTGGGTGCCGTTACAAAATTGGTAACGAGAGGGGAATAGTTTTAAGAGTGTTATTAACCCAACTCCTTTACCCTTGCGTGATTATCTCATCCATATCCTCAGCCCTGATCATTTTGGGAAGTTCCCAGCTAACGTTGTGGAAAGGTTGTAGATTGGTAAAGTCATGACACAACGTTGTCGC